TCCAATTATCTCCGATACGTTGCGAAAGCAGTGTTCCAACATAAGCAGTAACAGCGTTGAAGATCGTGAAAGGATAGCGAAACAGATTGCAACAACGAGCGATTTGATTCGCAGAAAGTATCGTGAATTGAAAACTGGTAAAATTGACGAAAAGATTGCGTTGGAAAAACACTTGAAACCTGTTACTGAACCACTAAAGACAATTGTCAGCAACACGTTAAGAAATTATGATCTACACAATAACACCGATATCGGAAGCGAACCATAATCCACTCCGAATATCATGGAATCAAATAAAATACAATCAGATTTGTGGTTAAATTTCTCGAAACCGCTGAATATAAAAAAAATCAAGATTAAGCAGTTAACCCGATATGAACGTGATAGTCTCTACATCGACCTCTACACCGATTAAGACAGTACCAACAACAACAACAACAACAAAAAGCTTAGCAAACGAAGATGTTTTTGAAAGTCCAAACAGCTATTTCTCGACATCTGTTCGAAGCCAATTGCAAACGCCGGAATGCGAAGAAACGTCACGTAATCATCTAGGTCCACTGAGTCAAAAATACGTCACACCTGTATTACGCGGCGACGTAGACGTTGGTATGGATTACGTGTACGGTGTTTATCTCACCAATGATGGACTGATGCTCGGTAACAAACATGTTGACGTGGACAATGCGGATAACATAATTATCGTGGCATACGATATTCGGGGACACCTGGCCTTTATGAAGCAATCAAGTTTTCCGAAAACACGCTACGGCTGTGGAAAATTGGTTTTGCGATCATTGTCTCCGCACCATATCTCCCTTCCTATTTTGTTACTAATTTTACATCGACGTGATTGCGTACATTCTCCATAGTTTTGCCAAATACCGCATTGTTCATTAATTTATACAAATTCTTTTCAAAATCGTTTGTAGCGAGAGTTCTAGACTTTGTATTTAATTCGATGTAATTGCGGAGCCAGGGTGATTGTGCGAATTGGAGGACGCGGTGTATCTCTGTAATACGAATACCATGTCGCGTTCATTGCTGCAGGTTACGATAGTGGATATCGTAGCGCTGCTTATCGTATAGAGTTGCGAGCAGCTTGTCCTCTCTTTTGCCAGGTGGTTTGGCACGTGTGGGACAGAACGGCAGGTCCGCATGAATGTCGTGCAAGCGTTGCGGATATTCTAGATCAACCTCTAGAATATAACCCGTGGGCGAATCGGCAGCAATCGAAGACACGTCAAAATTTGCAACCTTGTCGACCCATCGAAATTCTGCATATGGCAATGGTTGACACATTGCCCACCCATACAGATTATTCACATCAAAGTACATCAAGTACGACGACGCTTTCGATGGATCGTACGACTGCATGTACTTATTATTAGCTATCGCGTATCTACCTGAACATTGACTTAATCCGCCGCGTATACCGCGTTCGATAAACAGGACCATGTCGATATCTGTTAGTAATTCGAAATTAAATTTTGTATGCTTCAGCATGGCATCCCACGTAAAACCGGGCAGAGTGTAATAATACGCGGGATCGAGTCCGTAACTTGTTATACAGCTTTCACGAAAATTTTCAAAAAATATCGGCCAACAGCAAGACATCTGTTTTCAAATACAAATTGCTATACTCGCCCAGCGTTTGAATGGAAAACCGTGTCCACACGTTCTCGATGTGCGCGTACTCGCTCTCCGATACTGTATCACCCTTTCAAGGAACTGTAAAATGATTCGCGCGATGGCAAACATGATTGTTCCAACTTTTCGGCACAGTCAATGTACTCGTACGGAAAAACACCCTTCCGTGCCTATAATTCGAAATCTTCGATAGACAAATTTTGAAACTCGGTTCGTAAAATTCTTAATTTGCTTTTATCTAAGAAAGACGCTAATTTATCGAGACTGGTACTCAAGAATTTGTATGAATCGATGAATCTCAATTTTATACAATTTTGCGACGGTCCATTTGGATCTTCGACACTTTTTGTGAACGACATGTACTTTTCTTTTGTTATCAGCAATACACTGACGGCACCCTCGAAAGCTGTAACTATTTCTTCGATAATAAAATGTGAATCATAACCGGACAAATTATGAAAAACTGTGGGAATGCAAAAAGAGGTTTTATAATTTAGATTACCATTGGAGTGCGCGGGACCTCTATACCGGCCGGTTAGATGGTAATGATCGCGAACCCTCGTATCGTTTTCTCCAAACGGTAATTCGCAAATGTGACAATGCGTCACGTTGCGAAATGCCTCCTGCTGTTCGCTCGTTAAATCATCCATTTGTATGTTATTTGATAAAATTGATTTAACAAAATGTGCTAAATTCTTTAATTCTTCGACGAACCAGGAAACACAATTCGCATCACGACGACATTGGTATACCGACAAGGACGAATCGTACGCGCATTGAACATAATATGCAATATTAAATACTTTATGATGCTGGTGTGTGGATCTTGGCCCTTTCGATCAGTTTTCTCCAGAATGCACCCGAGGTCGGCGTACACCACAAATGGAAGTAACTCTTTCCGGATGTACTTGTTGAAGCTGAGCCACTTGCTTTCATCATCTGGTAATACGATTGTGCATTCGTTCATTTTCTCGCAATCTACGGTGTGAGCTTCTAGCTTCTCACTCGAACCAAAGTAGTGCAAGCATGCAATGAAAAGACATACATTTTTTTTCAAACATGATATATTTAAAAAAGTTAAAAGAATTATCATATACATACCTATCGCAAAAGTATTTTCTGCGTTTATGTTTACTTAATTCGTGAGCTTACGAGGCGGGACAAGTTTTTGATCTACGCGAAATGTCCCACGTCGTTTGCTCTTTCTAAATACAGCAAGATGACATGTCTCTCCATCTTCTGGATCGGTAGAACCTTCTTTTCTTCAGTGGTGTAGACGTTGATGGAGATTTTCACGTGTTCAAACTGTATAATTTGGTTCAATGTCATTGGAAATTTGATATCCTGGATATTCAATACCGTTGAATAATGAGGATATGCCGATGCCCGATATACGTGACTTTCGACTGGATGCAGAGTAGCCACTACTGACCACCCGAAACATGCATTGTCGTTCGAGCATACGTTGATTACAGCTCTCTTTAGTTGTATTTCTCGCGGTAATTGTATGGTACATCCAGCATGCAGCGGCATATATTTATTCACGTTAATAATTAAATTGAGTATTCGCGACAGCCCCCATCCGCTATCCCGTTCTTGAAATTCTTCCAGCGATGCTAGGGTGGGTTGGACGATGCGTTGCTCGTACCACTCTTCGAGATTGATCTCGCCGAAAATTTCACAGTTCTTCGAGCTGATAGTCTTATTCGAGCGTTTATCACCCGCTACAAACTCTCTATTAAACGCGGTATTCACTTTTAGTGTCTTATGTTTCACCAATGCACTTCGTATATGCTCGAACACGACGTCTCTTGCATCCTGAAGAAAGTTACGCGGTTCGATGTAGTGTGAATTTAAAACAGCGTCGGTTAATACGCGGCTCTCGAACGCAGTGTCTATTTCACGCCACAAGAATCCAGTGCTTGAATGGCTGGCACCTTCGTACACGAAACGTCTGCGCAACGAATACTTAAGACAATCGAGACGCGCGATACGAGTGATCAACGATTGTTGAACGCCGCTGGATAATCGAGGGCGTTTTGCTCGACTATGTTCTTCTAGCGACTCGAGGCACTCGTTGCATCGTTCTTCCCATGCGAGGTATTCTTCTTGCGAAGTCAATCGATCGGCCTGGTCCCAGAATCGACTTTCCATTTCCAAGTTCTTCCATGGTTGCACTCACTTCTTCGGTGGGGGCCACTACAGAACGGTTTGAATGCAGTTCAATCTGCAGCACCATTTTTATAGTCTAGGTCACGTGATTTTGTCACGTGATTTTGTCACATGATATGCCCCTACTATGATGTCACTGCCTGCAGACTTTTGTAATCCTCTCATATTCCGTATCGCTGTTTTCGTATGTTTTTTACTGACTTCGAAAAGGAGAAGTTACTCAATTCGACATGTCTTTTTTTTTTTTAATGTCTGTTCACCGATTACGCCGATATGGCTTGACCAATCAGAATGGAACCTGTTGCATCTTGTAGAGCATATTCCCCCGTTAATCCTGCTATCAAGACTTTTTACGATTTGTCATTTTTTACCCATCTTTTTACCAAAAAACCGTGATTTTGAGGTATGCTTGCCGATTACGTCGAGATGGCTTGATGAATCGGAGTGAAACATCTTGCATATTGTCGAATATTTCTTCCAGTTGGTCACGTTAAAGAAACATTTTGTGATTTGTCATTTTTTACCCGTTTTTTTTTAAACAGAAACATTTTGTCTTGCTTCTTACTCCGAGACGGATGGATCAATCAGATTGAAACTTCTTGCATCTGGAAGAACATTTGCCATTTGGTCCCATAGCAAAACATTTGTCCTTGTCTTATTTTGTACCACTTTATATCACTTTTTATCGCAAAAAGCATACTATTTCACGTATGTTAGGCCTGAAACCGATGAAATCGATGAAACCCCTTACATTTTGCTGCCGGAGAGGTTTTCGCAATGATCACAGATGCAAAAATTTATGAATTTCTGTATTGTTTATAACTATTGTTATCGCAAAATTCCTATTATATGATTTCATTTCATGACACATGAATTAGTGATGTTCCCATTTGCAAAAATTTATGGACACTTTTATTGTTTATAAAACCATTGTTGGTGCGAAATTGCTATGCTCTGGTGCATCTCGACAAGGAATTTACCAAACGCAATCAATCCTTTCACATGTAGTTGCAGATGTATTCCTGATAATCCCATTTGCAATTATACAGGGTGTCCAAAAAATGTTGGATGTCCTTGAATAGGATCTTTCGGGGCCAGTGGGGAGAGGGGTGATTTGAAACAATTTTTTCTTAACGAAAATTTTGTTCGAGGCTTCGTTAAGGAGATATTGACAGAAACCCCCCGACCCATCAAAGCGCGAGTATGCCCGCAGGCGCTCCTCCGGCATACTCGCGCTGTGATTGGTCGGGAGTTCCTGTTTCTGGAACATCTCCTTAACGAAGCATCGAGCAACATTTTGTTAATATGCACATACGCATGTTTACTGGTGTAGGTAGTTTAACTAAGTAGGAATCTAAAGTTTTTAAAATAGGGTCTCTTAACATAATTAATTTTTTATTTTTCGTAAAGGTTTAAATTTTAATGAACATATTTTTATAGACAATGTTAGAGAGTAAAATAAATAAATGATACTTAAGTAAGTTAATATATTATATGGATATTTATAAATTAAATGAATATTTGAATAATTAAAATAATATTCAATATTATCAATAACTGTATTATATTTAATTGTAAATAATGTAATAATTTAATTTAATAAAATTATACTAATGAAAAATATTTTTTCTTTATTATTTATTTTTATTTTATAGTTAGTAATAAATCTTGTAAAATAAAGAAATATAATTATTACACCTCCAATTATTGAAATAAAAATTATTAATACATATATTGAGATCTTAGAAATCTGAAAATTTAATAGTAAAGTCAATATTTTTTCTTTTTTTTTTTGGGCGGGTGGAGAAGCCTTCATAGGCACCGGGCGCCGGTGGACGATGCCAGCACCCGGTAGTGTGAGATTTCTACTCACTAAAAAACCACCCGCTTCCCGCGTTAGCCCCCCGGACCAGACCTGCTTTCGCATAACAACAGTCCGGGGGCGTGGCAACTAGGCCCCGCTAGGGCCTCCGCCGGTCGGATAGTACCGAAGCTAGGGGGTGCCCGGAGTATCATCCAGGCATCCCTCCTCTCTCTTGCGACGCAGCACACGCTCCACGTAGTGCGCGACCGCTTCCCATTCGGTCGGCCCCCGCAGCATCACCCCCACGATGTTGTCGGGGGTGACGTCTCCTACGAGAGCGCAGAGATCTACCTTATCTCTGGCGAAGCGGTCACACACGAAGAACGTATGAAGCGCGTCGTCCCTTGCTGCGTCGCAATACCGGCATCCCGGGGATCCGACCTTGCCCATCCTCGACAGGTACGCACGGAAGTATCCGTGGCCTGTGAGGAACTGGGTGAGGTAAAAATTCACCTCACCATGGGTCCTGGATATCCAGGTGGCCAGATCCCCTATCAGCCGAGCCGTCCATCGACCCGGCTGGGCAGCCTCTTAGCGTTGCTGCCATGCGCGCAGCGTGGCTGCGCGCTCGTGGGACACGGTTTCGGCCCACCCAGTCTCCGAGGAGCGTTGGAAGATGTTCTCCCGCTCAAATGCAAGCAGATCGATGGGTATTACCCCGGCGACCGCTTGCACTGCGCACTCGGAGACGGTCCTGTAGCTGCACGCCACCCGAAGCGCCAGCTGGCGCTGTACGGCAGACATGCAGCTTCTGTACTTACGGAGCCGCAGAGGATCTGCCCATATTTCGGATCCGTACAGCAGGACGCTCTGGGTTGCCGAGAGCAAGAGTTTCCTCTTGCTCGGTTCGGGCCGCCCACGTTTGTCATTAGTCAGCTAAGTGCTGCCGCCAACGACGCCGTCCCGACCGAGACCCACCGAATATGTTCCGCGAAGCTGAGCTTGTTGACCAAGACAACACCCAGGTACTTCGCGGACCTCCGGGTCTGGATGGTCTCGGTCCCAACAGTCATC